CACACTGCAGCTCCGCCGTGGGGAGACTGTGCAGCTCCGCCAGGGGGACACTGGGGGTCTCCTCCACCTCCTGCCGGCGCCGCCATCACCACTGGGGTCAGTCCGTCCGCCCGCCTGTCCCTTCCGCCGGCCCTTGGGCGGGATTTCCGGCCCTACAGGTCACTTCCGGTCCGGTCCGGTCCTCGGCGGATTCCGGGCGGAGACACCATCCCCCGACTCGAACGTTCCGCCGCCCCATTGTCTATCGCCTCCTGCGGCACACCCCCTCCCACAACAACCTTCTGACCCTCCATGGAATCAACGAGGGACACGGAGCAGAGGGAGGGTGAGAGTGGGTGTAGGGTGGGGGCGAAGGCAATATGTTCTACCTCTTACCTGGTATTGTCCAATTCTAGCATCGAAACCCTGTCATTGTATCCATCAAGACCCCTTAACGTCCTTAATGCCCTCGTCACCGCCTAACCTGCCCGACTCTGCCTCCATTCGCTGTGGGATCTTGCTGTGTAACTCCGCTACACGAAGACCGTTTTCCCCAACCACCTCCCCCCTCCACCAGCCCCCCCGCCGTCCCTCCATCCAGATCCCAGCCCCAACCTTCCCTCCGCCGCATTCCCAGCCCACCTCCCGGACGAGTTAATTGACGCAAATTGACTTCCGAAGCCTTTTTATTTGGTGACGAATTCCCTCTTCGCCGGCACACACCGAAGGGGAGTGGATTCCAAACTTAACAAAGCCACTGTGTGAGGCCCGCCCCGTCCCCCCAACCCGAGTCAAACAACAACCCAACCCCCACCCACCACCAAAGACTAAACCTCACACTGCACCGTCTGCCGCTCGCTGAGCCCCCAGACCGTGGCGCCTTCCCCCCACCCCCCCACCGTTGGAGGTGGTCCCTCCAGACCAGGACAGCACTTACCGCACAGACCCGAGCGTGGCGCCGGCTGTGCTGACCGGTAATGGAGCCGGCTGTCAGGGTCCGCCACGTGATAACGGCCGGACAGGAACTTAGGGATGTTCACAGAGAAGTGTGTCCCCGCGGCGGAGACCCTCGGTCCGTCTCCATGGTGGAGCCTCTCGGTGTCTCCACGGCAGAGCCTCTCAGTGTGTCTCCACGGCGGAGCCTCTCAGTGTGTCTCCACGACGGAGCTGCTCAATGGCTCCACGGCGGAGCCTCTCAGTGTGTCTCCACAACAGAGCTGCTCAATGGCTCCACGGCGGAGCCTCTCAGTGTGTCTCCACGACGGAGCCACTCAGTGTCTCCACGGCGGAGGTACACAGTGTCCACACGGCGGAGTTGCTTAGAGACCCCACCATGGAGAGGCTCAATGTTCCCCACGACAGAGCTGTGCAGTGACATGCCTCCCCGCACCGCACCCCCTGCCCCCAACCCCCCAAACAGTGCAGCTGCTCAGCCTCCTCCTTGCCAGAGATGCTCACGGTCCCTCATAGCGGAGCTGGTGAGTGAGCCTCTCCGCATCCCCCCTGCCTTCAGGGTGGAGTTGCTCAGTGTCCCCACAGCGGAGCTACACCGTGTCTCCACGGTGGGGCTATGCAGTGTTCCCCATGACGGAGCTGCGTTGTCTCTGTGGCGGAGCTCTGCAGTGACCCCTACAGTGGAGCTGCACAGCCTTCTCCATGGTGGAGTTGCTCAGTGACCAACCTCCTCCTCCCCACCCCCTACAAGCAGAGCTGCACAGTGTCCCCAGGGCAGAGAAGCTCAATGTCCCCCACAACATAGATGTATTATGTACCCACGGCAGAGCTGCACTGTCTCCTCGGCAGAGCTACATTGTCCTCCACATCGGAGCTGCACTGTCCCCCATAGCGGAGCTGCATTGTCTCCAAGGCGGAGCTGCGTTGTCTCCACGGCGGAGCTGCACTGTCCCCCATTGCGGAGCTACATTGTCTCCTTGGCAGAGCTACATTGTCCCCCATAGCGGAGCTGCACTGTCCCCCATAGCGGAGCTGCATTGTCTCCACGGCGGAACTACATTGTCCCCACAGCGGAGCTGCACTGTCCCCCATAGCGGAGGTGCATTGTCCCCATGGTGGAGATGCACTGTCCCCCACAGCGGAGCTACATTGTCCCCCATAGCGGAGCTGCATTTTCTCCACAGCGCAGCTGCACAGTCCCCCACGGCGGAACTGCACTGTCCCACAGTGAAGATACATTGTCCCCCATAGCAGAACTGCACTGTCGCCCATAACGGAGCTACATTGTCCCCACGGCGGAGCTCCACTGTCCCCCATAGCGGAGCTGCATTGTCTCCATGGCGGAGCTACATTGTCCCCCACAGCGGAGCTACATTGCCCCCCATAGCGGAGCTGCATTGTCCCCACGGCGGAGCTGCACTGTCCCCCACAGCGGAGCTACATTGTCCCCACGGCGGAGCTGCACTGTCCAACGGTGGAGCTACATTGTCCCCCACAGCGGAGCTACATTGTCCCCACGGCGGAGCTGCACTGTCCAACGGCAGAGCTACATTGTCTCCACTGCAGAGCTGTACTGTCCCCCACAGCGGAGCTACATTGTCCCCCATAGCGGAGCTGCATTGTCTCCATGGCAGAGCTGTACTATCCCCCACAGCGGAGCTACATTGTCCCCATGGCAGAGCTGCACTGTCCCCCATAGCGGAGCTACATTGTCCCCCACAGCGGAGCTGCATTGTCTCCACGGCGGAGCTGAACTGTCCCCCACAGCGGAGCTACATTGTCCCCACAGCGGAGCTGCACTGTCCAACGGTGGAGCTACATTGTCCCCGACAGAGGAGCTACATTGTCTCCACTGCAGAGCTGTACTGTCCCCCATAGCGGAGCTACATTGTCTCCACTGCAGAGCTGTACTGTCCCCCACAGCGGAGCTACACTGTCCAACGGTGGAGCTACATTGTCCCCCACAGCGGAGCTGCATTGTCTCCATGGCAGAGCTGTACTGTCCCCCACAGCGGAGCTACATTGTCCCCCATAGCGGAGCTACATTGTCTCCACGGCGGAGCTGAACTGTCCCCCACAGCGGAGCCACACTGTCCCCGTGGCGTAGGTGCACTGTCCCCACACCGGAGCCACACTGTCCCCACAGCGGTGCTGCACAGTCCGCACGGCAAATGTTTCCCCTGGTGAGGGTGGGAGTCCAGAACCAGGGGACGTAGACTGAGGGTAACGGGGTAGGATTGAGAGATGGAGAAAGGCCGCTGTGTGGTGCAGAGGGCCGGGGCACTGAGCACATTGCGCGGAGGTGATGGAGAAATTGTTCCGACGCGAAAGGCAGCCAGGGACGCAGGCAGAGAGCGAGACGACGGCCCTTCGGGCAGACAATCCAAGGGAATGGGCGGGGCAGGCCGGAGGGGCCGAATGGCCCACTCCTGGTTTACAGACAGGAGAAAGGAGACGTAGTCTGTAAAGATCTGTTTAATTGAATGAAAAGCAGGTCTCCCGGTCGGCCCCGTTAGCCAATCAGCATCCTCTCCACCCCGTCACGACGCTCGGGAAATTTGGCATTCTTGCAACGGGTCCAGATTGATATTTCTCTGCGGCAGCAACCAAAACTTGGGAAGAGGCGAGTCTCGCTCTCTCTTTTCGGCGAGACTTTCTGAGGCCTGCTCGGGCGGGCGAGTGTCCCCTCCCCCCAGCCCACATTCCGCCCCCCCACCCCCACCAACACAGCCCGCCTCAATCACTGCCCCTTCTTCCCCTCCCCCGGGGCCCACCGGGCCCTCCACTCGTCCGCTCCAAGGTGATTACGGTCGGTCACCCAGCCGGCCGCGCGAGCCTCGGTCAGGAGCCGGGGGAAGAGCTGATCGACCAGGAGGTGCGTCGCCGCCACCACGTCCCACAGCCGCTCATCCTGGGCTGGGCGGAGAGAGAGAGGGAGAAAAATAGATGAAACGTGAGAGGAATTAGACGCAAGGTTCTATGGGTAGTCAAAATCTATCCGTCTCCCGCACTCTCCCACAATCCCCTCAGTGTCTCCCCCCTCAAAAATCTATCCGTCTCCCAGTCTCCCGCACTCTCCCCGTGTCCCTCAGTGTCTCCCCACCAAAAATCTATCCATCTCCCAGTCTCCCGCACTCTCTCCCGGTGTCCCTCAGTGTCTCCCCCCAAAAATCTATCCATCTCCCAGTCTCCCACACTCCCCCCCCCCCCCC